CAGTTTGGCCAAATTAAACCAGTAAGAAGAAAACAGCTATAACTTCTTACTCGTACCTCAGATCAAGATAAACTTGGTGCCTCTAGAAAGCCATGACTCGGAGCTTTCCAATGATACCTAGATCGTCTTCTGGGTCCTTTCAGAACGACAAGAAATCAGCTCACAAATTCTCTAATCGGATATAAAATTAAGAATTCCAGTTTCAGAAACAGTGATGTTTCTCAATATTGAAATACGAATTACGAGCAGATCATACCTTGTAATTTAGAACCGAAAGCTTCTCCAAAAACTAGAATCCGTGATCTTTCTAACGACGCCCATATCAACATCTAGTTCTTCTAGACTCGGCCAAAAAACGTATGCGAAGTCAGCTGGTCGCATACTCACTCTGTACATATCAGTCCAAGTAAAACATCCATAACATTCATTCCATAACACCGAATGACAAACTTCTTTCAAATATTACTAGATCAGAGAGTTAAGAATCTGTTTACCAAATATAAGCTTCATCCGATCATTGACGAAACTGCAGCGTAAATTCTCCTCTGCCTGGTCGGAAACTCTCACAGCAAATAACAACTACGAGAAAACATCCATAACTTTCATATCACAACTTCAAATGACAAACCGCTTTCTGCCTTTGGTAAATAAGAGAGTCAGAAAAGTCCTTACCAATATTCATATCGATCCTAATTGATTTGATCCTTGGTTTCTATTCCTCACCGAAACTGGTCAAATCTGCGGTTGTTCGAGAAAAGGCATATCGCGACAGTTGGAAAGAACATGCCATAACTTTCACCACAAAACTTGGATCGAGACGCTATTAGATTTTCTGGAAAGCTGAGACTCAGACCTTTCCACAGATATATATATCGTCGCACAGTTCGTGACGGTTCGTCGGAAAATCGTCTCTCAATCTGGCGGTGAAGTTCAGTTCCAAGGGCAGCTAGGGTTTACAAGGTGAAAAGTAAAATGGCCAGGGCTTCGCCGCAGCTGCACTCTTGGTCTTTAAGTCTCACATCCTCTCCCTTTATATAGTGGATGATTAGTGTTTTCGATGGGTTAATTGGGCTTGATGAGCTCGTTTAGCGTTGAAGAAGAAACGTTATATAAACCCAATCTATTTAAATCCTTTTTAAATAAAAATTTCTTCTATTTCATTTTTCATGTTTGATCCAAAAAGATTTCCGCGCTAAAATTAAAAATCA